AGTTGCTAGGCGAGCAGCTGCACAGGATGGCCAGGACTCCTCTTCCTCAAGTTGGATTGGGTACTGACAGCAAGCCCAATAAAGCATTGGCATCCTATGTGCAGCGGCTCTTTGCTTCCACAGGTGCTGTTTACACCTCAAGCTTCGTGATCTTGCATGGTGGGGCCCGGGCCTTTAGAAATGATGTGGTTCTGTTCAAGCCAGAGGATGGCTCGCCTGCCAAGTGGGACTGCGGACACTTGCAAGCCCCCTTCAAAATCGATGGCAAAGCCTTTTGCTTGATCCAGATCTACACTTTCGGTACTTACAAGCCGGACAAGTTTTTCGCGACGTGGACGAACGAAGACCGGAGGGTTGTTGTGCCCGTGACAGAGATTCTGACTGCGGTTACTTACACATGCTTGAAGGACGGTGTTCTCACCTTGGTTCCATCGCATTTGAAGTGATGGCGCCGAGCATGCATGCGAATGCAGAAACAATGCGTGCTGCATCTGTTGCCGCAGACGGTGCTTGTTGCAGGGCCGAAATAAGTTCAGAAGCCATGCCGCTGCTCCTTATAAGCCGATGCATGGCTCTGTCAGTCAGAAAGCTTGCCACTGCTCCTTATAAACGGCGATGCATGGCTCTACAAGTCAGAAAGCCGCTGCTCCTTACAAGCCGATGCATGCATGGCTCTATAAGTCAGAAGGCAGGCCGGTATACTCTTTACAAGCCGATGCATCGCTCTAAGTTGAGATGGCTCGGGGCATGCAACATGGTCCTCACGTCTACGTGTGCGATAAATTTTTCCGGGAAAGGGAAATGCACATGTGTATCCGGTCTTTGATTCCATGCTGATTTCAAAAATATTTCGACCTCAAGCCAGATGTTGGCTTTGTCATTTACACATATATGGTGTTTCAAGTGCCATGCAAGCTTCGTTTTGGGTCATACGATCCTCTTGCTTATATGATGTGTCTATCTTAAGTTAACTAGTTAGTATCTCCCGCCATAACTAGTTAGCTAACTATCTTAACACACATAACTAGTTACTAACACCCAGGCCCATAAAAGCAGAGGTCAGGACCTCGTCAGCTGCTGAATCTATCGTGACGCAGATCACCTTTTCTCGAAGATGACGAAGCAAACGTTTTTTGAGTTGTTTCCCATGCTGAGCCGGCTCCTGTCCAAGTGGGCAGCCTGCAAACCTGGAGCAAAAGCGCCTCATCACCTTAGCCGTCGCCAAAGTCAGGTTTCGTGCACCTGTGCCTGGGTTTACTGCCACGCCCATGAAACCGCTCCGGGTCTGCAAGTCATCTGTGACGGCCCTAAAACGGATGGCCTAGCATCCCGGAAAAGGCTTACAGCCGACGCCTTCATGCAAAACCGCTGGTCAATAGACTGTATAGGCTCTGCAACAAGTAGCACATGTGCAGTTCTTTTCGGCTTGCAGGAGGCACGCCTTTGCCAGCATTGGTTACAATCTTTTCGAACTCTTCCTTGGATGGAGCTGCTGCAAGACACGGCTCAGTCTTCACATAGGCCGAAGCAGCCTGTTTGTGAAAATTGCTTTGCTCATGACACCTGAAATTTACGGCTTGCAGGCGCTCGACTTTCGTCAGCTTGTACAGTGCGTAACTGGTTTTGAACCCTGCGGCATGGCAGCACTTGCATCCTACACCCCAAGCAGGCTTGGAAGGTGCGTCCAGCCAGGAGCCAAAACCAGCCATGACAAATCGTTCTTGCTTGCCACTTGGCGCTCAGTCGTTTCCATTCTCTACGGCCGCGTCAGCCGCAGCAGCCCGCCTTTGGCCGAATCAGCCTGTTGTACTAAACAAACTGCTTTTCATGCCTTGAGCCCACCGAGAAACACGCTTTTAGCACCTTGCAAATAACTTTCAGCAAGTAGTCAACCGAGCCTGCGTCGCGTTGCCTAAACCCCAACCCCAGCAACCCTCTGAAATAGCACTCACAGAACGCAAGTTCGCAAAGCTCTAACTGCAGTCGCTCGATGGTCCTTGGTGATGGCATCGACTCAATCAAACCGAAACCTGGCACCTATGATGATGATTCACCTGTCTGCGTTGATGTAGGCAGAGTTAGCGTCATCATCCGCTATCGCGGGCTCGAGCGAATGCTCGCTGTGATCTGGCCCCATTTCGGGAATGCCAGAACGACACACACTTTGGCTCGACACGAACTGATGCGAAGGAAGAGAGACCGGACCAGACGTGACGAAGACAGATTGCAGCAACAGCGAGGAGATCAATGCGAAACAATGCACAGCTTACACAATCAACGATGTCACAAGCTGCAGGTACACAGTGGAGCGTCCCCCACTGCTTCACAGGCATCCGATGAGCGTCTTTGTTAGTGCCGGTCTCATCAGTGCCCCCAGCACCCCCTGCAATAGGAAAATCGCACTGCAGTCGCCATGTACAGGCGTTTACACACACACACACACACACGGGGGGCACACCTATGCACACATCACCGCACGCTGGCTGCAATGTCTGCAAGAGTTTCATGTTACTGCACTTTTCAGGGCGCCTGAGATTGCAAGACCAAAAAAAGGGAAGGAAGCGCTGGAAAGACCCACACAACTGGGCGGTGGAGGCACCTTGAGGTCGCGCGCCTGCGTCCTGCAGCCATGGAGAGAAGGCGAGAAAGAGGAAAAAACGAAAGTCTCCCATGGCTGCTTGCCGGCGGACCTTCGAGGCATTCGCCATTCAGGCAGTGGTTGCACGCCATGCAGGCCATGCATGCTAGAGGCATGCTATCCCCTTGCTATCCCTTCGCCCATCTCTACTCTCAAGCCTGCGAACGAGCAAGTTCGAAGCTGTTGAACTCGCTTATGATACGGCGCTCCCCTAATATCTCGCCTTTTCTCTGCTCGATCAGATCCGACTAGCTGTCCAAGGTGGGCTCAGCCGCAGCTTCTTCCTCCGCAACCTCGGCAGCCTCCTCGGCAGCTTCCTCGGCAGCCTCCTCGGCAGCTTCCTCGGCAGCCTCCTCGACAGCCTCCTCGGCAGCCTCCTCGGCAGCCTCCTCGGCAGCCTCGGCAACCTCCTCGGCACCCTCGTCACCAGCTTCGGCTACGGCTTCGGCGCCGTCCTCATTGGCGTTCTTGGCGGCCGTATCGGCGTCTTCCGTGGCATCCACCGTCAAGACCTCTCCTAGGTTCACCGTCTCAAGTCTCACGTGGAAGCTTTAAGTCTCCCAGCCAGGCCTTCCTCGCCCGCGCCCGCTGCTTGCACCTTCCAGGTCATGGCCGAGCGATGCCGAGCGCAGCAGAGGCAGCCAAAATGTCCAGGCCGCGGACGGACTCTTTGGCAACGGGCTTTGGAATCTCCGGGTTCAATTCCTGTGACGTGACATGTCAAGGGCCCCCCTCATCTATTTTGGGCCTGGGCGGCTTCGGCCTGGATCAAGAAAGGCGTCCCTTGGTTTCCAGCAATGGTGGCCCAGCCGGTGGCGCTGTCCTGAAAGGCGAAGGCATGGACGGCAAACCGCTTGAAGCTGCCGAAAACAAAACGAGGTAACGGAGCAACTCTTCGCCACATGGTGGCCTGGAGGGCGAGGCATCGGACGCGCTGCACATTGGCGCCGTCCTCCTTCGAAGGCCCTGAAAGCTCTCAAACTGCTTTCGAATACGCTCAGCCAGGCACCCACACCTTCCAGTACTTCCAAGACCTCGCCCACCTCTAAGCCTCAGGACAAAGGAGGCTCCCTCTTACACTGTCGGAGTCTGTAATGCAAGATCCTCACGGCGAACGGTTTTGGACTTGATCGAGATGTCTTCGGAAAGCACTGTGCCCTTGCAGCCGGGAGGGCTGGAAATCTCTGCTTGAGACTTGTCAAGAACTGAACCAGAAAAGAGTTGTTGAAGCACAGCTTTCGTCGTGGCCTGGCTTCCGAATCATGGCTTTGATAAGGAAAAGCGGGGAAGCAAGCATATGCTGTCGCCCAGGATCGAGAGATCTCAAGCGAAGGCTTTATTCAAGTTCGTTTGCACATACCGCTGCTGTGTCACGGCACGCGATGCCTAACAGGCACAGCCAAATAGTTCTAAGGCGGTCAACCATAGCTGCGCATGCTTCCGTGCTCGCTTGTGATGTGATGCATGAACGAACTGTTCCAAACCTCTCATCAATAAATTCTCCAACACAACATACGCAGCCGCACAACTAGTTGGTCTGTCCCTCTTGCCGCACCTTCCATTGTGTGATGGTGATTGTGTGATGGTGATGCTCAAGGCAGTACGGAGTTCAAACACTTTGCCCACTTTGCCCCGTCAGACTTTCCTCGGGAGCTCGTGCAAATTGCAAATGTCCCTGCCTTGACGCATTTGAAGTACAACCGGATAAGATCCAAGAATGCGGCCTCGTTCCAAGACGAATAGCCATGCCCGTGCGCAACTCAGCCCAGGCCTTGTCCAACTCTTTGGCACCTCTGGGGAAAGGAGGTGTCGGGCGGCGGCTGCTAGCGTTGTCATGTCATCGTCATGGGCCCGGCGGCACCCAACCCCCAAACCGAGCATCAGCCCCAGCTTCTCAGATAAGCTGATCGGTTGCGGTCCACCAGCGAGCTTTGACGCTGCGGACTTTGCACGAGCAGCTGTTTGTGTGCCGGCCGAAAAGAAACACTTCGCGTGCTCCCTCCAGACGGTACTGTAACCCTCGCCACACATTCCAGTGCTTGAGTCGTGCGCGTGCTTGAATCGCAGTGGTCGAATCGGGGCTAGTGCTCGAATTGACCAGCTCATTCCACTTTGCTACTGCGAGCCAACTGAAGCTCGCAGATTCCGGAAGGGCTCTGCAGAGACCAACAAAAAAATCCTCAGTTGCAGCTGAAAAAAACCTTAGACGCGGCTAGGCTACGACGTGGCTACGACGGCGGCGGCGAGGAGGTCTACGGCAGCGTTAAGGGCGGCACCTGCAACGGAGACAAAGAGCCGCTCGAGCTGCGCGGCCGGGGCGAGGTCCTCACCGCAATCCGCCAGGCAGCACAGCACCGAACAGAAGAAGCGGAGAGGCGGAGAGCACACTGCCTAAGCTAAGCCCCCTTAAAGCACTGAGGAATCCCCAGGATATACATGATATACGGAAAACTGCCGGCCCCACTCCTTCAGGAGCTCCTTGAAGCTCTCCAGCTCCATAGGACCCGCTCCCGCGGAGGCCTCGAACAGGGCCTCCCCGGATTGGCCCTGAGAGCAGAGCAGAACAAGACACGACCAACAGCTCACGACCCACAGCGCCTCCGCACTCATCCGAGCTCGCAGGGCGGCCACCGCACGCGCGCGAAGCTCCAAGGTCTCTGCCTGGGCCTCTCGAGAAGGCATGGAAACCCAAGTCCCCGCCCCCATGTGAGGCCTGCAAAATGCGTGCTCGCATTGCACTGCGCGCGCGCGCGCGCAGTCGCCTTCTTGGCCACCGCTTCCTTGGAGGCCCGCGCGTGGCCCAGGACTTTCTCCAGCTGCACCTGCCGCGAAGACTGGATCTGCGCGCTTCTCCGCAGGCCGCCGCTTTTCGCAGAGGCACCGGGCCTCTAGGATCCGGTGCTGCTCTTGCAAGCGGAAGACCTGGAAAGGGGAAAGGGGAAAGGTGCAGAGAGGGCCGGCCGCATGGGTTTTGCCTCCTTCTTGAGCTTCGGCTCCCGCTCGAAGGGCGGGAAGCCTTGCGTGGCCTCTCAGAGCAAAACGGCAAGGAAGGTGCAGAGAGCGCCATCCGGCGCCTCTTCCAGCTGCCGTGAGATGGCGTCCAGCATCTCTCGCACCTCTCCCAGGCACCGCACAGCACGGGCACGGGCCCTCCAACCGGCGCGCCTCTTGGCCCTCGCTGTCGGCCTTCTCCGTGCCTGCTCTCACAGCCTCCGAGGAGGCGGAGGCCTCCCAAACACGACGCAGGCTAAGCCCAACCCAGTCCCCCCCCTCACTGCGCTCCCCCACCCCCCTCGCTGCGCTTCGCTGCGCTGCGCTGCGCTGCGCTTCGCTGCCTCCAGGGACTTGAGCTCCTCGGAAACCTGCAGTCATCGGCTGCGCAAAGCTCTGCCAGGGCCAGCGCGGCCCCGGCGTGACCGCCGAGAAGCGGTTCAGATTCCGTGCCTGCTGGAGCTTCAGCTTTCCATCCTCGAACTGGGCAGTGATGACTTCCACCATTTCTTGGACCTCCGCGACGACAGCGACTGTGACAGCAACTGCGACAGCAACGACAGCGCACGCGACCGCCACACCCGTGCTGGCGCCTTGAGCCGTTGGGCTTCGGCCTCCCGTTGCTGCTCCTCTTCTGCAGCCCGCCTTCGTGAAAGTGATGGACACTTCCCTAAACACCCTGTTCTGAGAACGCTTCTCTAGCGCGGAACGACATCGTGTCATATCGTGTCGACGAGGTCCCACTCTCACCGAACCACCGGCTACCAGGCTGGAGCTCTGCTGATGCGCTTTGGGCCTCCGCCTCCGTTCGAACCTCACCTCTGCTAACTGCCATGAGCTTGTTTCTGCTGCAGATATGCTTCTGCTGTCTGGACGTCTTCTGGCAAGTGTCACTTCAGCACTCGGCTTAACAACTTCGAACATGTGTCGGCACTGCCAGTTCCTGCACCCTCAAAAGTAGAGCATGGGGAGAGTTGCGTATCTACCAACAAGGACGTACGGCAGTTACGGCAGCAGCGCCAGCTTGCCAAAGACACAGTGGTGGGGACGTGGTGACTGGGCCCGAAAAGGCGAGGTCGGGCCGCCCGCGCGCCAGGCCTGGCGCGAGCCTCGCTCTCGAACTTGGCGATGCCCACCTGAAGCGGCGGCTCCCAAGAGCGGCGAGAGCGGCACGAGCGGCAAGCGCTCTGAGCGCTCTCCGATCTCCGCGCCTTCTGCCGCAAGCGCAGGAACTTCTCGAAGGTGACCGGCTCCAGCCTCCCAACATTTGAACGCTTTGAGCCCCTTTGAGGCAGGACCGTGAGGCGCGTGCACTCGCAGGATGCGGCTCAGCACCTCGCCAGACCTAACGATGGAAGTCGGAGAAACCATCGGTAGGAAGGGCACAAACGTCGAGATCATGACAGCTCCACCCCGTTCTCCCTTGCGTAAGCTTCCACCTGCGAGCAGATCTGCGAAGCGAGCTGGGATCTCTCTGCTTTGACCCATCTGCGGATTTTTTCGGAGTCGCTCCTCGGCGCAACTCAGCTGCCCATCGCCGTCCGCGTCGTGCCTGCGCCAGGCACTTGGCCGCTTACAAACGGCACGACAGCACAGGCTTTTTTGGCCTCTTGAAGGCAGCCATCCAGTCCTGCAGTGTCGACATCGATCCAAAACTTGGCTCCCCGCTTGCACAACAAGGCGAAGACATCAATGTGTTCGAAATATAGATTCGATGCTTTGGCACCGAACATGTCGGAGGTTTAAGGAGACTGCAAGGTTCGCAACTGTTGGCAGCGATCACCGGTGCCTCCCGATCTGTCAATGCTTGAAATGTATGTGTAGCTCCTACTGGACGGTCGTTGGCGTTAGCCTTCACAGGTGTCCGCTCAGGCCGACGGGCAATCGTCGGTCGTGCCGCACGTCCCCTTGGAAAGGTTGATGTTTGCGAACTCCCTTGATCGGCGGGGCATTCTGAAACTTCTGGAAGCCCAACCGCTCGGCCAAAGGGCGAATGCCTACGCACTTATGTCTTCATCGCCTTCGATTTTCTCGTTCAAGCGAGAAGACGAATCGATGTAGATCCTTCGATCACGCTGTATACGCGGTTGCCAACCTGCGATGGAAGGAAACTGCACTTCCTTCCAGTTTGCATGCTTCGCTTCGACGACTGATGAGGGTCGATAGCATCATGCCAAGACCAGCGGCACTCGTTGGACAAGGTCACAACCTCAAACTGTCCGGTCGCTCTTTGCTCGAGATCTCGAGGCATCATCCATATAGCGTCATAGAATGTCGAACAATGCCATTTGATTTTTGGAGGGGTCCCTAGGCCCCTCGCTCGCTGCCGGTGCTCACCCCTGCCAGCGTACGTCCCCAGCTTCGTGACAGGCTTTGTACCACTTCGAAGCGTGATCGGAAGAGCTTCAGAACCGAAGCGGGCTTTCTTGCTATCACATCCGGTCACCTAACCTTTGGCCATTGCCACAAACAGGAGTGCCCCTGTGCCCCTCTGCAAATGGCCGCGTGCTGGGCAGGGATGCTTTGCGCTTGGAAGCCGATTGCGCTCCGGCCTTCTGCTGCCGGCAGCGGGTGCGCAGCGAAACACCCCCGCCCCGCTTTGAGTCGCTTGCTCTCCGAGAGGCGAATCAAATCCGCCAGCAGATGGAGTTCTTGTGCCTCGTAGCCAGTTTGCCGTCACTGCGTGTTGGATGCGCAAGGCGGAGTGTTGAGCGCACAGAAGAAGCCGATGCTGCGGAGGGATCCGGCGGTGGGGGTGAACTCAGCCGGGAAGACGGCTGAGCGGCTGTTTGGGCCGTTAACCACCCTTCTTTAACAAAAGTCAATTCGATGGAATGGGCAGAGTCAGATCTTATCAGTCGACAAGACGAATCGCTCTCGCTGTCTCGATATGCTGGCACTGCTGGCTAGACCAGGCCGGTGCGTTGAACATCGCGGCACACGGAGCGTATCATTAAACCGGAACTTTACTTACCTTCTAATGCCTCTGCTCTCAGAACCCTTGGAAACCTTCCCAGATCATCTTCAGGACCAGTCTTCAACTTCAACCTGGCTCAAGCTTGTCCGCAAACCTTTACCTGGCAGCAAGCCGTACAAGAATGTGCAGAATGTGAACAGGGTTAACTTTCCAGTTGCCAGCATTGATAGGGCTTCGCTTAACATGTTGCGTAGACCCAGGACTTGAATGCTCAATAGCCCTTGAAATACGTGCAATCTCGTGCAATGCGTACATCATGCTAGCAGGAAACCTGCCCTCATGACTCAGATGTGCCAGCTAGGACTTGCGCCAGGCGCCGCGGATTTGTCCCCTCAGTCCCCTCCTCTCTTGCGAAAGCCGGATATGTGGCTCTCCGCGGCTCCTGGTCTTGCTTCAAAGCGGCCGCTCGTCGCAAGCCACGTCCTGCACAGAGAAGGCCAAGGCGAGGGGCGAGGGGCGAGGGGCGAGGGGCGAGGGGACCCCATACGGCCGGTTGCAAAAGCAATCCGCCTCGGGTCTCCTCCAGGGTCTCAGTGCACCTGCCACAAAACCCACGAACGACAGTTTTGGCATGCTAGGCCGAAGTGGCTCTCCGTGGGAAGGAGTCGACACTGCCACTCTCTGACTCTGCAGTTGTGTCTAGCACGCATTCAGGAATGCCAATTGGGCTTTAGAGGCTTCAGGCGAATCGAGCAGCGAGGTGGAGTTTTTGAATGGAGAGGCACTCCAGTTCGCTCTCTCTCGCTCTCTCTCGCTCTCTCGCGCCGTCCGCCTCTGCAGGCTCCGGTGGGACTGCTGCAGCCGGCCCGTCAAATCGTCCACCTAAAAAAAAGAGAAGAAAGAGAGGGAAGAAAGAGAAGAAAGGGAAGAAAGAGAGAAGACGAGAGAGAGAGGAAGAAAGAGAGAAGAGAGAAAGCGACACTCACCGGCCTCGCGCTTCACGTGCCGGGCACCCTCGCCGGCGCCCATGGCCTCCTTCTTCACCGACAGCAAGCGCTCGGACCTGCGGCCGCCGAAAGCGAAAGCGAAGGCGAAAGCGGCTCCGCCTCTGTCGCTTGCGGCCCGGGGCCCGTGCCTGTCCAGGAGACCCTTCGCGTCCTCCAAGTGCTTCTGGGCCTCCTGCACGGCCTCCGCGAAGCGAACTTCGCGAAGCTTCGCGAAGCTTCGCGGTTCGCGGAGTTCCGCGGCCAATGCCCCCGGCATTCCCCCGGCCTGCAGGATGTCTTCGGGGGCCGCCTCGGCATCGATGCCCCGCTGGCACGCCGCGGTGCTGGCGTCCTGCGCCTGGGTCACCCGGGCCTCGGCCGCAAAAGCGAACAGCGCAGAGAACTCCCCGACTCCGCTCCGTGCTTTGCAGAGGGCCTCCGTGCTCTGGACCTCCGCCGCCGCCTCTTTCAGGAGCTGCTCCACGCGCGCCTTGGCTCCGGCCCCACTTTGAGCATGCGCGACCCATGGCCCCATGCGCGCCAGCTCCATCTGCCGCCGCCGCTCTGCTTCCTTGCAAAGGCTCCGACTCCAACATTAAAAAAAGACGACCGTGACGGCCACGACCGGAGCATTCAGGATCACAGTCCAAATGCATTCCCCCAAGCACTGTCGGGACTCACGACCCCGGCCCTTTACCACACGACCCTTAGCTGGCGGGCTTTCTCCCAAGCACCGCTGCTGGGATACGATCTTTTCGGGGCCAGAATACATCATATCCGAAATTTACAATGAATCCAGATCTCGCTGTTGACAATAGAGGACGCAAGCCACAACTGACGTGTTATCAGCCTGTGCGGGGAACAAAGAGACATTGCGGTTAGCTTTAAATGTAGTTTAAATGCTGAAAAGCCCATCTTTGTCGGGATCTTGGGGGCGTCCTCGCGTTGCTTCAACTCCTCGGCGATGCGCTTCTGGACCTTTCAGAAGTGAGAAAACACTGCTTCTGCCACACCCTTGTGCCTGGCACCTGCGTGATGGTGTGCTGCATCTCGTCGTTAACGCGGTCCCGCAGTGCTCCCATGGCCTAGAAGGTGCGACATGCTAAGGGTTCACATAATGTCTGCCAAATGCACCAGAAAGGCTTACTTTGTCCGCGTCACTGTACGCTACCGCGCTACGGTTGCTGCTATTGACTGCCACTGTGCCTGGAAGTTCGAGGCAGCTGCTTTGTCCAGATCGGCCTGGCACACTTTGCATGGCTTCGCAGAGTGCTTCCGAGACGTTCCGCCTGCCTGGAGACCTTTCAAATTGTCAGGTGTCGCATTGCCTTGGTCGTGCAAGCCGCTGCCATGGGCGGATGTCCCCCCTTCTTGAAGGCTCGGGCGTAGCTTCTTGAGCACCTCACGCACGTTGTTCGCTGCCTCCTGTACCGGCGACGTGCAGGTTGCACCACATGGAAGTGAGAGCAGGAGGGAGGTTTGTGGTGGTGTCCTCCTGCTTTCTCTCCTCCTCCTGGCGCCGCCTTCGGGCCTCTGCCTCCCTGCGGGCCTTAGCTCATCCAAACTGTAGTAGTAGTAGTAGTAGTAGTAGTAGTAGTAGTAGGAGTAGGAGTAGTAGTAGTAGTAGTAGTAGTAGTAGTAGTAGTAGGAGCAGAAGCAGCAGCAGCAGCAGCAGCAGCAATAGCAGGCAGCTGCAGGCAGCTTGTGTGGTTTTGCTTAGAGCCATAAACCACGCCGTAAGGCAAACACCCAACTACCGCACCCTGGCTGTGCCGGCAAGTTGGTGTGTTGAGCCCGTGGTTCCCGAGTCTCCGAACCCGTGCACTGCACGCTTCGCTCTGCTCCAGCAAAACGCCCGCTCGCCTTTCGTCGGCGTGCTTGACCCCGGGTAACGTAAGCTAGGCCCACTTAGCTTCAGCTTTCCCAAAGGCCAAAGGTTTAAATGAGCCCTTTCCAGTTGTGTTCTGGGGAGCAGTCGAGGATGACTCGCTAAGAATGGGGGGCGAATGGAGCGGAACGCCGACCCCAAAATCGCAGTGGCGGCGCAGCAGTGGGCGCTGTCGGCGCGGCGCGCGGCGGCCCTCCGCTGAGTCCCATGACGAAGGAGGAGGCGAGAACGGCGAGAAGGAGAAGGAGAAGGCGAAGGCCAGGAATGGCTCTGGGGCTTCCAGACGTGGACACGCGAGCTTCGGAGTGCCACATTGAGCGGGGTCGCAGAGTCCGAGATGGAGTAACAGAGTATGAAGTTGGAATCGAGATGGCTCCGGGCTGCAAAGACGAAGCTGTCAGCACCGCCAGTGGGCGAGGCCCAGTTCTTAGCAGCGTACCAGCGGTGCGTCTCTGTCACTCAGCGGGTCGTGTGGAGGCGCGTCCGTCGAGTGGCTCGGGGCCTGCCTCCCAGCGCTGTGTCCGCGTCGCCGTCGAGATCTCGACCAAAAATCCAGTGGAAGTCTGAGCGAGTCGCAAAGAGCCAAAGAGCTGCGGCCAGCTCTACCCACGCGCCACAGCCACAGCCTGCGGTGCCGGATGCGAAGGACCGCGCGGCTGAGCTGAGTATGAAGGAAGAGAAGTCTGTCTTCACCTTCAATCTCGGGATGATTCGCCCGTGTTCAGCGACGGTGACTCCGCTTTCCCAGGAGTCGAAGAATGTTCGCCCGTACCTTTAAGAATACACGTCACCTTGGAAGCCAAGCATAACGGAGAGACGGTGGTCTTTGACCAGCTGCCCTGGACGCTTCCATCTGACGAGGCGAAAGCCCATGAAAGCGCGAGCTCGCTATGATGGAGGGAGAAGCGGAGCACGCCTTTCCAGGAGTTCCAAGTGAGCTGGACGCCGCAGGGCTGTACGAGTGCCAAAAGGACTTGCGTCACGATTATCTGCAGAAGATAGAGTCTTTCCTCCGCGATGACGTGTGGCGCGATCGTAGGTGCTGGCCGTTGCGGCCTTCACCCGTCGTGAAGCAAGAGTTTCACGGTGTGAGAATTGGTCTGAAGCCGCGCTTGCAAGTACTGGTAGTAGTAATTACAAGAACCAGTACCAGTACCAGTACTAGTGCTAGTGCTAGTACGAGTACTAGTACTGGTACTGGTACTGGTGCTAGTGCTCGTGCTAGTGCTAGTGCTAGTGCTAGTGCTACTACTACTACTACTACTACTACTACTACTACTACTGGTGCTAGTACTAGTACTGATTAATACTGCTGGCACTAACCGTCCTGTTTTGCATTGGTACAGGCACTTGCCACTCCCTTGCCAGCAACGCCTGCCCAACGTGCTCGGCGGTGTTAAGTAGTCGCTATTGCCCCACTCCCCGCCAAGAGCGATGCAACCCCGTGCGTCATTGATTGATAGCGCTGGTGCCGCAGCTACGAGCTCCCAGTGATCATGCAGACCATGCTCAGGGATTCAAGCGGCCGCCCAAGATTTTTATGGTGATACACCGCCGTTTCTTTCCCCGCACGGAACTTTCACGTTGGGTCCCGAGCCTGCTCCCGTTGCTGCTCTTCCTCACGCTGCCGACGCCGCCGCGCTTCCTTCAGGCGTGGCGAGTCTCGGCCCCCTGTCCCTGAAAAGTTCCGGGGCCTGGCCTCCCGCTGCCGCCGCTCCTCCTCCTCACGGCGGCGCTTCTCCTCGCAACATCTGCATGTATCGGCTGTACTCTCCCACATCTCCCGCCTCCTCGCGCTTGTCCCGGAGATCACGCTCCCGGTCCCGTGGGTCCCGGCGTGGGGCACCTCGAAGAATGAACCTTTTCTTCGGTTCAAAAAAACTGCGGCTCCCGGCCTACGCTGATCCGCAGCTTCTCGTCCACCTTGCCGTCCCAGGGCACCTCGCAGCACTCGCAGTCGCGAAAAAAAAAGGCAGAGGCCGGATGCGCCGGAGTGTGGCCTTCCAGTTGGAGGTTGGAGGCATGGCGTTCTCGCGGCCCAGGTTACCGGCATTGTAGGCCCAGACTTGGTCCCCGCCGACCTTCGGGCCTCAACACAGTCGACGTGTAGTACACGTCGCTTCGCCGCACCCTGAACTAAAATCGGGCGCTGGCCGAACCACCAGCCGTTGAAGGAAGGCCCGTCGCCTTGGCAGTCCACATCGCAGACCGTCGCTGCGTGGATCTCTTCTCAGCCATCTTACGTTCGTCCCAGTAGTAGATCAAGACCGTCACACTTCCCTGAGGTCCCTCCTGAGACAGGACATTCACACAGCCCAGGACTTCTGCGCTGAGGCGGCCTTCTTGTAAACTGGCTTCCCGTGGTTGGACTCCTTGGTGTTGTACAAGCCTGGACCGTCGGACCGTCGCGGACTGCGTCGGACTGCGACGGACTGCCTTGGATGATGTTCGACACCGTCTCGTTGCTGCAACCTGAAACGTGGATCGTCGGCTCTGGCCTCAGGCTCGACGGCTCTGCAAAGCAAGGACTCGCTCGCCAAATTCGCCAAAGACACGCGAAGCCGGACACGGAGGCAGGCGGTGGTACGGCAGCACCTGCCAATCTTCAAGTCAAGTGATTTCAAGTGCACCTCCCAATGAGCATCAACTCGACGCCAAGAGAGGACAAGTCGCCACTCCGCCGATCGGGGCCTCCACACAGTTCCACTTGCACAGGAGCCGGCAGAGACAACGCTATGCCCGCAGACCCGGCTGCACCCGCAGAATGCACTCTGTGCGAGAGCTGGCTTTGAGACTCGGACCTCGAGGTGCCGTGGCGGGGCCCCCGCCCCCGCCCCCGCCCCCGCCCCCGCCGCCGCGAGGAGCGTGGGCCGCTGGGTGAGCGTCTCCGGGATGGCCCCTTTGCAAAAGGCAGAAGTGAGAGCGCTGCCCCGGATGCCCCGGCCCCGGTGCCGGCCTGGCATCGCGACGACGGTCGTTTGGAGGCTCTCGGCGCTCGCCTCCAAAGACTCGACAGGCAACAGTACAGAAGGAAGCCGACGCCCAGTCCTCGTCGGTCACCTGGCCGTTCGATCCGGTCCGGCAATCGGTCCGGTGGACCACGTTCCTGACTTGACGAGCCCCGCGAACCACCGAGGAGCTGTGCACATGTCTCAGAGCGTGGCCCGGCGGTCACGATCGTCTCGATCGGCTGGACCTCTACCATAGCCTGGCTGCCACACGTTGCAGCTCACCCCACTGCCCTTTGCATCCGCCTCCAAAGCGATCGCCCCCTTTACCTTCAATGACTTGGCATCTGCGCTGTTCTCCGTACGCGGTCTCTGGGCCCAGCCTTTGCCTTTGGAGCCGCTCTGGCCGTACATGGCAACGCAAGTGCTGCAGTGTGTGGACAAGCTGTTGGGTCTTTCAAGTCTGCTGGGCTGGAGGTCTGAAATGTGCGCGACGGCACTTTGCTACCGCACTACCTGGGGCATGGATGGGCCTTTCGCGTCGAGGGCGCAGCGACGGCACACTTGAACCGCCGATTCCGTGCTCTGCGGACTTGCCAGCGGCAAAAACACAGGACTGCTTGTTTTGGCAGGGGCCCGAAAAGCTCGAGTGCGACGAAGCAGCTACGCATCGCATCTCATCGTCCGCGGTACTTGGTCACCTTGGCCTCGATCCGGGATCAGCATGACACATCTACACCCGCAGCCTGACTGAAATCTGAAAGCCGTTTTGGATCTGTTTGTGTATTCTGCCAATGGAGGGCCCAGTGCTACCAGACATACCTGACGATTGCATTCTTCTTGCAGAAGTACTGCACCGCCAACTTCGACGTCTCACAACAGTCTTTTGAACGCCAGGCTTTGTCAGGAGTCTTACGGGCGTTAAGTGCATGATTGTTCCATGTTGCGGCCTGTACATCTGCAGGCTTCATGTGATGTCATTTATCGTACTTATTCTATATCTCATGTCCTGCTCGAGCTGTTTGCATATGTTAACCACTCTCTCCCAGTGCGGAGGCTCAAGCAGTTGGTGTGCCAACCGCTCGTTTACCGATTCTCACGCATCAGCGAGGCGTAACCGGCATCGTAAATTCGCCTCGGCCTCGGCCGAAGTTATCCCCTCCCCAGTGACCCACCTCCCTTAACGAAGCCCAATCCCGTGGAAAGATAAAGGGGCGCAGTTCTGATCTCGGATGGATCTAGAAGCTTGCCCGTGCACTTGGACAACAAGTTGGCTTTGACTGCGTCGCAGAACGGGCTAGTGTTTTGAAACCACTTGAGATACATGTAGATGTGCAGCCATGCCGTTGCACGAACGGTATACCGTAAGAGTCTACACAGACAAACTCTTTTCACTCTAGGGCCAACGGCGCTTGGTGGTCTCACATGTGTTTCACACGTATCTTATCGTTGCTTAGGGCTCGTCCCATAAGTGGACTTTGCCTATACACGGATCTTAGCACCTTGCCTCGAGGTTTGTGTGTTGCACCGAGGAAAATTCATCTTGGTACACGGCATCTCCCGCCCCACTGCCGAGAAGCTTCTTTCTCATAGCATGCGGCATGTGGGTTAAACACTTGATGCAACACCCGTGTTTATAGGCGGAACAGCCTGAATGCACGTGCACTTTCACTTGAGCCAAACGACGGTCAATAGGCATAAGCAAGCTATACATCTTACACAAAATACACCCTTGCGCATCAAAGCGCGACGGTAGAGCGACCGACCCGTTAGGGTGGTGCCGAGAACGTTGACAGACCACTTCATTTCTAACGAAACGGGTGCTTACTCTTCACTCTGAGTACCATCCCGTTAGGGAGGTGATGCATGTTCCGGCAGGAAAGGCCACGAAATGAAAAGGGTCAAGCCATCAATACTGCCGCTCTCGACGACCTGTGCGGTGGTTGTAGATCTCGTGGTTCCATCCGGATTAGTACCACGTGAGATGGCGGCGAATACTGCCCTTGCTCCATTCTGCCCGCCTCGCAAGAATGGGGTCGGTGAGGTCTCCTGCCGCATCGTATCCCATTCGGGTAGAGCAGTCCTGCCGTCTGCAGCTGTTGGAAGAATGGACAGCTGTCTGACGGGTTCGCACCGACGATATGATTCGGCCCAGGCGCCAGCCGGGCGATTCAGTTTGGCCACGGTGTCCGCTGTAGGAGATAAAGCTGGAGCAGCCGCCTCCGGCGCTGAGGTGGTGAATGCTTCGCTTCGCCAGATGCCATTGTAGACCAATCGCGCTCGTCAGAGCTGCGTCCATGTCTTGGAGCTGGAGTTGGAGCACTTGGCGGCGCAGGAGGGCGGACTGCTGCGCAGGTGTAGATGTGGTAAACTGGTAAACCGTGGTGTTGTACTTGCTGTCGGCCTGCCTCTGTTGGTTGATGATCTTGGGCCGGATACTGGGCGCGGTGCTTTGAACTCTTTCTAGGCCGCACGCGTTGCCTGTGGAGGCCAGATGACGGCTGCAGATCAATGACATTAGTCTGCCGGCCCTCTTGGGCGGCGAGCCTCCAAACTCTGTCGGGCTCAGCAACAACTGCAAGGGTTGGTGACTTCCGTCAACGCAATCAATCTCGACCGCGAAGCGACACACAACAGCTCTCGCCAAAGCTCGCCCTTTTTGGTAGATGGCACAAACCCAGTTATAGCCTGGAGATTGTTGCTGGCCTCAGGCTAGCCATCCCCAGGCAGACGCCTAGCTCGCGATAGAAGTTATCTGAGTGCGCGAGTAGCCGGTCCAGGATTTGCCACTTGAGCTCTTCCACAAATCTACCCTCAAGTCGAAGCTTCAGAACTCCTCATTTCTGAGATCATCGGCTAGCTGGTTATGAGGTCTCTCCGTATCCACCGCAGCTGTAGCTCACAGTTTTTGTGGGATCGACGGATACTTGGTCGTCATGGCCTTCTTTAGGATGGCCACTCGCGAGGTTTTCCTAGCCTCGCCACCCAGAGACGTATCCCGACCAGGGTCGCTAGCAACACTAGCGCAGCTATCACCTTTTTCGGGTCAGCTTTGGCAAATGCCTCAGGTGCCCAGCTCCTATCCACTTGTAGTGAGGACCAGAAAGCCGAGTTTTCCATCCCAAGAAGCCCCCTATCCATTGTGAAGAAGCTCAAAGTGGCAGCCAGCCGCACTGGTCGTTGCTTTCCCAGCAAAGAAATAACACAAGGGTTCCCTGCCTCCCCTTCGCCCCTATCCCCAAGGCCTCGAGGTCGTCGGCATACAGGAGCCAGCCACCATCTTCCCCTTCACCAGAATCGTCTCATCATCCCTGAGCCAAGTCCAGGACGGGTCATCAGCATAGCCTCGTTTAGATCGTGCCCATTTTGCAGAAACCCCCGTCCTGCAAATCCTCAGCCCCGTCGCTTTGGAAGCACCGAGGTCCCAAGCCTCTCTTAGCGCTTCGCCCTCGGGCTCGTTGATGATGTAGCCCAGTTAGAGAGGCGGGCGCACCACCTCCCGCCTGGTCGGCTTGAGCACGTCGCCCCAAATTTGTGGAGGTGGAGCGCCACCGATCTCAGCCCCTGCTCGACTAACTCCTGGCGGTCGGGCCACTGCCACATGGTAGCCGGTCTGCAACCTTTGCGAGGGTGGGATCCACGGCTGGGGTCGCTTAGCACACAGAGAGCGGCGTCCTGAATTGTCTCTCCTTGACCGCCACGTCCTTCCAAAAAGCGCAGTGGAAGATGTGCTTGCCAAATGCGGCTCTTGAACCCAAACACCGGGCGGCGCCTGCACTTGAAAAAGAGATCGCGTGCGTGCCGAGACAACCATCTCACCCTGTGGTGAGTCCGCTGACCCTGTTGCGGCAGCCTTCAAAACTACAAGCCCTGATGTCTGGGGATTTGGCGCCAGGCCTGCCCGATTTGCCGCTGCCCTTGGCAGTGGAGAGCAACTTTCTTGGTGGGCTGCTGCATTTTGTCGCAGTACTTCTCCCAGGAATATGAGATATGTGAAACTTCGTTCACCGCGAGAAGAACAGGGAACGGATTAAAGGCGCTACTGTAGATGCAACGGGGAAGACCAGTGAGTCTTCCCCTGTCCGAGGTGTAGCCCTTTTCCGCTGCCTTTGGCATTTTGCTGGGCTTGCTTTAAGATCTTGCTCTCAGCCATGTCCAGCTCGTTCTCCATGCCAAATCCCACAGATTTGACGTTAATAAGGAACCATCCGGCGGCGTAGCCCTGAGCATTGCGTTCAGCTCTGGGCTGACTTCCAGTGTGCCCTCCACCACGCTGTCTTTTTCATAGTAGTACACCCTGTGGCCTGGTCGTTGAACTCGCGGGTGTCCGAGGGCTGCATGATCGTGAGGGTGCGCCACAGGATCACGATCTGCCCGAGCGGTGTAGACGTCATCTCCCAGTGCTTGTTGTAGACGGCGAGAACCACGCGCAACGGATCTCCAGCTTGCGTTGGAATTGCGGCGAAGATGGCGTGCAGCGAATATGGTGATTGGGAACCGCAGTCGACTGGTCGCGGTATAGCAGTGTACCCGATCCTCCGCCGTAGCACTGCATGAACTGGCGCCGCAACTCCCACGACCTCAACTGCAGAATGGCCAGCGTGGACCAGTATATATTCTCGCCTTCAATTCATAGCGACCCAGCCTTTTACGAAGTAAAGAAATACCAGAAAGAAGTAATGAAAGTGGATGATACGAAAGAAGACCTGTATTTTGAAGGGTTCAACCCATGCGGCCTTCGCCTGCGGGTGGTGTACTCGGCTCCACCTGGAGTGCTCCCAGGTAGCAGTACTGACAGGAGTAGCTGCGCTGGACCAAGAACTGCCTCTGGTCTGGGCTCATAGAGGGGTCCCAGCCCGTTGTAACCACCAGCAATCCACTAACACGCTTTGCTCTCCGAGGCCAACCATTGCATGCTGTCCTGCGTCCTGAGTATGCGATCATCCAGCTTGACGAGGTTAAAGACCTCAGGCCGAATGACTTAGTAGTTGCGGATTGTGTCCAGAACCTCCGCTCGGGTGGCGAGCGGTGTAGCCAGGTAGTCTGCCACTGCTCGACTGTTGTTGATAATCACGCCAGCTTGGGCTGCAGTCATGTGGTACGAAGCCTTTCTTTCCACGGGGATGGGCTGGAAGAGGTGTGCTCCCCATGGCGGGCTGCTCCGGGGCCGTTGCGTTGCTGAGCCCTCCATGTCCACGTCTGCCTGCGGTGTAGCCAGGGAGCTGACAGCTGTGCTCGGGGTTCCTCTCTTCTGGCGGTTGGACAACCACATAGCTTGCTGAGCCTGATACGCCACGTGCGCCGTCATGCGCCTCTGCTCCTGCATGAAGGAGGTGGCCTGAATGAGCTCCTGCTCCCTGGCTGACTCGTCCGCCATGCTTAGCCAGCAAAATGCTGGCAAAGTCTTTTCAGCTACCGAAATGAAGGTGAAACCTGCCAAAATTAGCGACCATGATTTAATCATAGATCCAACCATCATGCCATGCACCATGCGAAACTGAGGGCCGAGACGCCTGGGTTTAAGGATTAGGGTTTAGGTAGGGTTTAAGGATTAGGGTTTAGGGTTTAGCGTTTTGGGCTCAAAATTAGGGTTTAAGCACTGGAGACAAAGAACTAGGTACGTAAGGGTACTGAAGCGGTACTGTAGACAAAGTTCTTCGGAGGTTTATACTAGGCAAACAGAACTTACTAAAATGGAAACAAATCAGAAATACTGGACAGGTACAATAAAGGTACTGGACAAAGATTTTCGATATGTTTCAGATTGGGAAAATCAACAAATTAAAGTAGGGTGCGGGCGCACGACGCGCCACGTTGCGTTCGTACTGAGAATGTGCGCGAAACTAGGGGTTTTAGCACGATTCCTTCCAAAAACAGGTTTGTAGGACATCACGGAAACTATTTCATTTTTACGATCAGCAATATCATCAGCAGCATCATCAGCATCAGCGTCGTCTTTATCATCAACATCAGCATCACTCTAATCTTAGACATGTTCATCATTGTGTTTATCAACATCATTATCCCCGCCATTAGAATTTTTATCGTTTTTCATCATAGTAATCTTCATCATAATGACCCTGATCATGAACATAATCATCGTCGTTACCATCATCAACGTTTTTATCATCTTAAGCGTCTTCATCATCATGACGACCGTCATCATTGTTTTTACCAACATCATTATCACTGTGATTAGGATTTATCGTTTTTCATCATAATAGTCTTCGTCATAATGATCATGATCGTGATCATCATCACCGTTACCGTAATCAACATTTCTATCATCTTAAGCATCTTCATCATCATGACGACCGTCATCATTGTCATTATCATCAGCATTCGCAGCACGGTTTCCAGCTCCAGAGGAAACCCACGCGAAGCCACCCAGCTCTGCCGGCAACGCCACTGACGACAGCCGCAGGATGATGACGGCTGAGAGCGTCAGTGCAAGCCACGAAAGCACCATCCCGCCGGCTCAACAGCAGCAAAAACCTTGGAAATGTGCTGTGCAAACACTAAGAACGCATGAAGACGCGTAGCGCCCTATGCGCCCGATACCAACTGGTTGGAAGGCACACGAGGCACCTGATGTGGTAAGGCTGTGTCGGTAGAACCTGAAATTACCAATTGTGTCGGTGGTACCTGACACTGAAAACACCAGAAGTACCAACAAACCAACGTCCATTTTGTTCCGGGCCAAAGTCCCTTGCCTACTCAGGCAGCAAAAGTGAGACCGTGGGCACGAAGGGCGGCTTAAAATTGGCGGGTTCTGGCGGCTTCCTCGAAAATGCATTGATTTTGCTCACCTGAAGACACATATTGAGTCAAGGATCGGAAAACTTATTTCCCCAAATTTACTTGTTAGTTGCCAATCTCGAACGTTTTCGCGGAGTTGGGTTTATAGCTGACTTGCCTGAGGGGATCCTCCTCACCAGTTCTCAAAGCATGGCCAACCAGTTTGATACGCTTATTCCCTCGCACCAACTCCGAGAACAACTTGATTTCGTTGCTGTTGGGTTTGTGTTTCTTCATTTATTTTTTCGTTGTTCGCTTTCCTTAATACAACGTCATTCGTGTTTGCTCGGCTCACATACGTACTATCTAGCCCTAGGATCCTTCTAATTCCTCTCGACAGAAACGCATTGATTTTCTTCTGCATCGCTTGCGTTAGATGAACAGCTTCTAAGCCATATAGAAGTTTGTTTCTGATGATGGCATCATAGTTCATGGCAACGTAACAGCATTTCCCCTATGGAGGCGTAACCCGAATTGTGCAGACACTGCTTCTGCTTCGTGTAATAAATTATTGGCAGCTTGTGTGTTGGTACTGATGAGCGCATAGTAAATTCTATCGAAATCTATTCCGGCAAACCTGGAATTCATCGTGCGCTGATTTATATTACAGCTGATGTCGTGGTCTATGACAAACATTACTAACACGAATAAGTAAGGAGACAAACCGCATCCTTGGCGAATGCCTGATCCTTGTTGTGTTATAAGCGATTTCCCATACTCATCCTCAACAAAGAAGCGGGGATTACTGTGGCAATCCATTATTACATCGATGAAGTTCGGGGTAAGTTTTTACACCACCAAGCACTAAGGCTCGATTTGCATGGTTCATCCAGTTGAACAGTTCCATTATAAGGCCATCGGGTCCTGGTTCTACGTCATACTCATCTATGAGGAACGGGCCTGTGTTGAACAGTTCTTCTGGATCGTGTATCTTTTCCAACCTTTGAATTCTCATAGTATTGTCGCTGTGCCAATGCTTTTGCTCCAAGTATTTAGCTATGCTATTCTGCCCTATCCTTAGGAGCCACATGTTGACCGTTATCATCTTTCATTTGCATAAAACGTTGTAAAGCTAACTTTTTCATTCCTTGAATTCCTTGTCACTTCTCTCTTTGATCATCTAGCTTGACGAGACTATTCATAAGAGCATCTCTTTATCTTTCTTGGCGTTCTGTTTGATTTCTTCTGACAACAACTTCGTTTCGTCGATTCTCCTTTCTCCCATGCAATTTCTGTGTTAGTTCAGGAAGACAACAGCTCAGTTTGTCGTTGGAATTCTCCCATTCTGAGTCGGTTGGCTGCCGAAACTTAGCCGCTCCTGGACGGACTTGCTTTCCACTGCTGCCCGTTCATCTTACTGCGACATTGCTTCCACTATATACTGATCAAAAGGGAAACGCAACTCATTCCTAGAACTTACATCTTTACAACTCTTCTTAAAGTTTTCGTTAGCCAACCAAAAGTCTAATTGCGCATATCTTGTCGGAGACCACGCCCGGCCACGCTCCGTGGTGTTCTCTCGGAATGCACAATATTCTTTGGCAGATTTATTGAAATACGTCTTTAACACACAATATCCTTGATGCAGGCAAAAGTTGGTGAATGAGGATCTGTTCTCCAGGGTCATCTCCGACACTGTGTTCAAATAGTCTAGGCCTCTACCCAAGATAAGTGGCGAGTACCGTTGCCGCTGCCAGTATTCGGTGGTGAAGTCTGGCATTCAAGTCGCCCCCAATAAAGTGAACCGGCCTACTTTTACAACAACTTCTTAACTCATCATAGAACTTGAGCTTAGTCCGCATAGTGAGCACAGCCCACGTGCATGTGCAAGATGTGCAGCATGAGTCCAGTCCTCCTACACTCGAAAGGCAGGTACTTCGCCACAGGTTCAAGCAGAAGCTTGCAAGTTGTCGTCCGGCCTGTTTGGGATGGGAGGTGAAGGTGTGGGTCGGCACGAAGTCCCCCAGCTTGAAGCCGACCTCAGAAGGAGCAATGCGCGGCCGAGCCGCGGCCGGAAGGCCGGAAGAAGCATCATGGAATCATGGGCTTTTTCTNNCCCCCCCCCCCCCCCCCCCGCCAGGGATCCGGGCCATGCCTTCGTTGATGACAATGGGCACAAACTCCCGACCATTGTGTACCTCAATCCAATCTTCCTCCCTATCCCCCAGGCCCCGCTTCCGGTCGCACCGCACAAGTGTGGCCGATCATGGCAGGGATGATGGTCGACTGCCGGCTGAAAACCCGGACGGTCTCCTGGACGTGGCTCTTCTTGCGCCCAGCCCCCACTTGCGCCCCAGCCCCCTGCGCCTTTTTGCCTTCCTTGTTCATGCGGGTGATCTTGTTCAGCAGGTTGATCGCGATGAAGGGCGGCTTCCTAACAGTGGAATCCAATCCGCTCTCGCTGATCGTTTGGTATACCCATGTCAGCGTCTCCCGTCGCTGCATCCGTTAACCGTTAATCTGCTCACGAGACCATACTGCAAAATAGAGGCTGCATGAAAGGTTGGAGCGACCTTTCGGATCGTACGGCATTGTGAGGCGAGAAGAAGGTATGCACTGTTGTGGCTCCCATTTCTCCTTGGCATCTGCTTCTTCGAGATATCCCGGAGCATCGTCCACCTGAGTGTAAGCGCCGTAGAGTGCCAAGGCTGCAGTAAGGCGATGAGTCGGCGCTGAGTGCTTAGCTGGTTCGGATCCGCCTGCCTTTGCACCAGGTTTGGCCGGGCTGGTGGCCAAAGGCCATTGCCGCCCATGGGAGCAGCCTCATAAATCGAAACGATTCGGGAGCCAACGCCCTCTGCTCTGTCCGCTGCTCCAACAGCTGCGACGTGTCGTCTCGCGACGCGCGCTCCAACCCGACTCGCGCGCAGGCGGCCCGCGAGCCGCGAGGAGGAGAACACGGCCATAGAAACTCTTTGAGGGCTCTGATGCCACGGCTCTGGGCTCTGGGGGCGCGCTATGGCGGTCTTTGAGTCCCTGCGACCGCGCTGGGCCGGCTTTTGGGGCCGGCTTTTGGGGCCGGCCCCGGGGCTCCTGGGAGTGGCTCCAGGCTTCGGGGAGTGGCCAAAGGACCTGCGGACGCCTCCGCGTGACGCCTCCCCGCGCGTGGGCCTCACAAAGTGAATCGCTGGAGCTCACTGCAGGAATGCGGATCGCACACTGCCAGTGGCTCGCGACAACGCTGCCCAAAACTGTGACTGCTATCTGAAAATAACTTGGGATGGCACGCTCAGAACTTCTGGAAGGTGGGAGCAGCGGGAGCGGTGAGCGGGATTTAAGCGACGGCGCGGCGCGGGCTCTGAGCTCTAAGAGCCTCCTCTCAGCATCCGGCGGGCGACACAAACACAGAGGCATCGGACCTGTGCCACCAACAAAACGCAGAAGCGTCGCATAGCAGACTGCTGGCACCTCACGCTTGACCACACTGCCACGGCCGCAAGGAGGAAAGCTGGGTAAACCTCAGCTCGGAAGGTGCTTGGATGTGCCTGCAACTGGCTGGCTGCCCAATGTCTGAAACTCATGCCGAACATGGGGAAGAATCACGACATGGTACCGGGGTAACATGTTACCAGAACCGAACAGGTCTTCAGACATGCAAAGGGGCAAAATCAGAGCCAGAACACCAGACTAACATCGAAGGCAACTTAAACTCCGAGAACACGATCGCTAAACGGTTGCAGGACACCGAACAACACGTCGACACGGTCTGCAATGCAACGACTTTCGCACCGAAACACGGCTAGGGGCAAGGTTTGAGCTTCAACTGTCGCGCATAGTTGAATGCTTCTGTCTCTTCGTGTGCTCGTTCCTTGCGCCTTTCTGCTTCACAGGCGATGCATTTTGCATGCATGTGACAATGCATGTGCGCATGTATTCATGCATGTGCTTCATAGTCCTTGGCTTGCAAGCCCATGGGGCCACGGCCCAGTCTTTTCGTGAACGGGGCTTTGCCTGGAGGGCGAAGGGGCAGCTGGAGAGGCAGTTACAGCAAAGACTCATCTATACAGTTCTGTGCTCTCTCTGTGCTCTAGAGGCTGCGCATGGCTGCGCCGACTGCGCCTGGCCCTCCATGGTCCGGGCCCGGGACGCAGATCCTGAACCCGCTCTCAGCTCGAGCCAAGGAGAGGGAAGCTTCCAGCTGGGAAGTCGCTCTGGCAGAGATGTCTCAGCCCATCCCCGCCCATCTCTTTCATAGGAACGCGTGTCGCTTCTCAGGTCAGCCCCGGTCGGTCCGGTGCTGCTGCCTCAACTCGCCTCCTAGCAGGAAGGAGCTACGGTCCTTCTGACGATCACTTAGCCGTGCATTGTCAGGCGTGGCCTAGGCCTATCCATCAGTGGAATGTGCAAATGCTAGCTACCAGAACTGTAGCCTTAACGGCGAGTTGGCAAGATTGCACGTGGCTGCACGTGGCGGTGCTAGGCCGCTAGGCGGTGAAGAGCGGCAGACTGCGCCATTCACGCATCTGTTTTATTCGTTAGTCCTCCAAAATGACTGAGATGACCTTGCCGTTGAGCTCACCACGGTCGAAGGTTTCCACAGCCTGCTGGGCATCCTTTGCTCGAGCAAAGGTGATGCGGCATGTACCTCTTGAAAGCTCGCAAAGCGTGATCTTGCCGGTCTCTGCCTCGAAGGCTTCTCTGACATCGGCTGCTTTGAGTTCCTTGGGGATGTTGGTGACCTTGATCCTCTTGGGAGCTGAAGGGGCCGTCACCCGCGCGCGCGTGACGCGGGCAGCTGGGGGCGCGTCTCGGTCCTCTCGGGGCCTCTTTCGAGCTTCCCGCAGATCCCGCAGATCCCGCTGCTCCCGCTCCCGCTCTTGGAGGCGGTTTCGCTCCAAGCGCAGCCCGGATGGCCGCGGCCGTGATTCGCCCCCGCGCCGTAGGCCATCGTGTTCGTTCCGGTCACCGCGTCGATCGGAGCGCTCCTCATCGATGCGGCTCCACATGCCAGGCCTTCCCACTGCGTAGCTGCCGTAGCTGCCGTAGCTGCCGCTGCCGCTGCCGTAGCCTCGATCTTCCCGCATGTCCGTGTCACGGAGGCTGCGGGCCCAAACTCCCTCTCCCTTCCCTTTGCCCCAGCCCTTGTCTTCGTACCTGGCGTTGTAGCCGTCATAGTCGTAGGCATCGTATCTGTCCTTTCCCTTACCGCCTTTGCCGCCTTTGCCTTTTCCTCCTTGGCCTTCCTCCTCATCCATGCGCCAGTCGTCATGTTCCATCCAATATGGAGAAGCCGTCGAAGCTCCATCCTTGCCTTTGCCCCAACTCTTCCCCTTGTCGAACTCGCCCTTGGGTCTGGACTTTCCCCAGCTCTTGCCATAGCTCTTGCCCCAACCATCGTAATTACTGTAGTTATTTGAATAGCCAGGGCCATGTCCGTTCGAGTCCCAGGTCCAGCTGTAGGAGCCCTTGGAGCCCTTGCCCTTGCTCTTGCCGCTGGTGCCGTCGTCCACCAGCTCGTCCAAGCTCATGTCCAGCTTTTGCCCGGAAGCCCCCTGCCCCTGTCCCCCCTGCCCCTGCCCGAAACGGCCTTTCGCTTGTCCATTGCCCTTGTTGGCCTTTCCCCAGCCTTTTCCGTCATAGCCGCCGCCATAGCCGCCATAGCCATTTTCTCTGCTGAACTCCTTGCCCTTGCCCTTTTTGCCGCCCTTCGGCTCCCAAGTGGTCTCGATCATCTCCTCGAGCGTCTGGTCCAGATCGGCCGGCATGGCGTCGAGCGCCGAGCGCCGGCCTCGGGGCCCGGCCCTCTCCGCACTCTGCCACTTTCTGTCCCCGAGTGGAGCCTGAGCCGCGACGGAAAGAAAGAACCTCGCGCTGCGGCGCTGCGGCGCTGCGATGTGCCAAAACCTCTCACTCACAGAAGCCGTGGACGGACCCGGTCCTTTTTGGGCGACCACCAAGCGCGCTCGCTTCCGTCTCAGAGTCGATGAAAAGGGGGGGGGGAGCAACACCCTCCAAGTCAGGGGCCACGCGGCCGCGCGCGCGTCTTTACTCGCGCCGCCTCCTCGGCTTCAAGCCGAGGCCCACACAGCCCGAGAGGGCTTCGACCCCCCGCCCCGCAGGCGCTGGCACCAAAGGAACCACTAATCGCTAACCCTCCCTCCCACGACATGGCAAAAGCACCGCCCCTCAACCACGACCCCTTTGGAGCCCGTGGTTCTCGGGGAGATGTCCATTTTGACAAGGGGGGTTGCTTCGCAGTAGTAGCGACATGGTTTCCAAAAGCATCGCTAATTGCTCGAACCCCTTTCTCTAGAGGTCTGCTTCTTGATGTAAAAAAATGTCTGTCCTTCCTTCTTGGGTCCTCTGGGCCTGGCCACTCCGACTTCTGCCGAGCTCGCGTGGCCGCGACTCTCGTGGTGGCGACAAAAAGTAGGGAGATCTCTGTTCGCTCGCGAGTGCCTTCAAGCACCGAGCGCCTATAGTTCTCCCCTGAACTGCGATATATGGTTTCGTCCGTTTTCCCTTCCCTACATGGAAGGAAAAGGACGGAGAGATCCATTCGGAGAGCGGCTTCTTTCCGGGATCTCATCAAAACTTGGAACGAGCGATGCAGCGCCAACAGCTGCCCCTCGCCTCCCTATCCCTACGACTACGACGGAGACTCTGTCTCAAAGGGCCGCGGGGCTACTTCCAATGAGACGCCGAGAGCGCGGCAGCGAACGCCTGGGGAAAAGGCAACAAACAAACACACACACACACACACACACACACCCCTCGCCCGAAGTGGTCTCGCGACCACTGGCCTGGACGGTGCCCAGGGGATGCGAATGGTCCAGGACAAAGCGATCCTTCTCGACCTGCAGGGAGGGCTTGCAGGCGTCAGCACGGGAAGAGCGCTACCAGCAGCCTTGCCGAAGAGCAGCACCACCCGGCCCGCATCCTCGCCCTCAGCCTCCCGAAGACAGAGAAGACGGAGGCGAGGCGAGGAGGCATTGGCTTGGCGCCCTCGGAGGTCTGCGCCTCGAGCTGGAAGTTCTTGGCGGAGGCCAAACTGCAGCGGCCCTGGAAATCCAAGGTCAGCGTCTTCTGCCTCGGAATAAAAAGGAGCGGTGATCCGCTCTCTGTCTCTCTCATCCTTTCGCAGTCCTGGCCCACCTGGCCTCGGGTTCCAGCGCGGTCGCCGGGTGGAGAGCACGCAACCTCCACTCTTTCGCGCCCTCGCCCTGGTTTCGTCAAGCGCCTCGCGCGCATCGTGTCGCGCATCCTCGCGCCTGCCACGTCCTCTCTGCCACTGCACCTCGGCCGAAGCGGCGCGCGGGCAAACGGCGAGCGGCTGCAGAACGCGTGCACGAAGGTGCTCCGAACAATGCGATGCGAGCACCCTCCACTCTGTGGCCCATGGCACAGAGCAAACCACGCGACTCCGGCCATCCTGCAGCGATTGGCACAAAGATACCGCGCCGTCCTCACTCTCAGAAACCTCATTCCTGCCTCGGAAAGCTCAGGAAGCTCGACATCCATGCCTGATAAACGCTTTCTCTTAGCTCCCCATGCGCAATACCCGCCACCCCCCCCTTGAGATGTAACCTGGGCGTGTGTCCCCTCGCAAGGCGTACAGGAACACAGGCAAACACAGGTGTCTTTTTTACTACAGGCGCACAGCTGTAGATCGTACTCTGCTAGAACCTTGAGCAACAGGCATGGAAACATGCAAGTGATACGTGAAACAGATAGGCACCTGGATGTGTAACATTCAGTGTTTCAACCAGGCACAAATTTAAAAA